CAAGAGCCCCACCAACTCCTCAGAGGCCCACCACAGTAAATGCTGCAGATACAAGAGCCCCACCAACTCCTCAGAGGCCCACCACAGTAAATGCTCCAGATACAAGAGCCCCACCAACACCTCAGAAGCCCACCACAGTAAATGCTCCAGATACAGAAGTCCCACCAACGCCTCAGAAACCCACCACAGTAAATGTTCCAGTTACAAGATTCCCAACACATCAGAAGCCCACTACAGTAAATATCCCAGCCTCAGAAGCCCCATTAACTTCTCAGAAACCTACCACAGCAAATAATTCAACCACAAAGACCCCAGCAACAGCTCAGACATTCACTATATCAAATGCTCTGCCTACAAAGACCTCACCAGCTGCCCAGACTCTCCTCATGGCTAATGCTTTTGCTACACAGACCACAACAACCACTCAAAAAGTCTCCACCACAAAAGCTTCATTTACACAGCGTTTTCCAGCAACACGAAAGTCCACTACTTTACATGTCCCAGTGACCCAGGGTCTCAAAAGTACAAAAAGATTCACCTCTGCTCGTATTACAGCTACACAGCGCCCATCTGTTCCCAAAGCAACCACAAGTTTTCATACAACAAGAGTAACGGAAAGAAAAGAAACTTCTCCTTCAGGTCAGTTGGTGCTGTTCTCAAATGTGATCTGATGCACTATGATGAAATGTGAAGCTGACCGAGATTGCAAGATTGAATAGTTTCCAATTTATTGTAGCCAGGCTTTTTCATAATGCTTTTGACTCATTCATAATCATTGATAAATGTAAATAATAAGATGACAAGTTTTGTTAGAATCTGCTGAAAGGAAGTTAGGTTTCTCATAGTTTCTTGATGGTAAGATGGGTTCAGTTGTTATTTACTGTTTGATCTTTTCAAACTTGTTTCTTGCCACCAAGTTAGAGAACCAAATTTAGATGATGTTTGTTTTAGTATTCAATAGCTATCATAACTTAAGTTTATAGTGTTGAATGTCAAACAGATATAGGTGCTGGTATTTATGTTACTTGATTAAGTAAATAATGTATAATTTATAATTATAATTTATAATTATAAAAATTGAAGTTGCTTTTGAGCTTTCAAGTATATTTTATTAATAGCTATGTATTGATATTAAATCTCTAGCAAATCAGATAAAATTTAAAATTTTAAATTTTGTAAATATTTTTTTCTTCTTTCTTTTCAGGTGCTGTCAGTCTTATATATGGTAAGTTTGGCTCCCAGACAGTTAAAAGAAATTGCCATCACTGTGGGATGTACAACCCATATTCCTGGAAGAGAATATTACCTTTTAACTGTCTTAGAAAAACTATCAAAATGCAGTGTTTAGGGGTACCTAAGAGAAAATGGGTAAATGCATTTTATCAACATGTTGTGTGGACACCATTAGGTACTCGATACGTTCCTGTGTATTCCAAGTCATGCTCTTGTTCCAAGGTAATTTTAAGACAACTTCAGATCACAAGGCCAATCAATCAAGTAGTATTGCGTGCCCACTGTCTCAGAGCCTCATTCTAGGAACTTACAAGATGGAAAGGAAACAATTATAAATCAGTTTGTATCCTCAAGTGTTTGTCAATTGATCATAAATTACTTTTTTTACCATTTTTAGATCTCTGTTCTATTCCAGATGAGACAAAAAGTGCTACCTTTGATAACATATTTGTCTTTTCCTCTTCTCTGTCATTTGAAGCAAAGTTCTTTTAAAAAACTGTTCTGTTGCTGTGCAGACATGAGGCCAAAAACATCTGCGTTGCAGTTTATTCTGGCATTTGGTACAGTATTTTCTTTGTATAGACATATTTGATGTTATACATTAACAAAAAATCAATAAACTATAAAGATGGTAAGAGAAATGTTAAGAAACAATACAGCTAGATTTATATACTGATAAGAATGTTCAAGTGACAATACACTTTTACTTTTAAAAAAGTGTTTATTTTTATATTATGTACTTTTTAGCAAAGTTCCCTGTCTTATATATGCATGAATTATCAAGGGACAATAAACCTGAAAACAGATATTTTGTTATTACTAGTATTGTTATTTTATACTGCAAATGCTGGAAGATTTAAAAAGCTAACCAATTTATCTTGAAGGATTCCAACAGTTGGAATTCTTTGTTTATTCTATATTTGAAATAGAAATAAATGTTTTCTAAATGAAAAAACAATCTCATGATTTAATGATTCACTGTTCACAAAAAAAT